CTTCTTAATGTTGTTTCATAATGGGTTTATTAAAGCCCATTTAAAATCATTCTTGGGAAATTCACTTATTTGCTTTTGTTGCCTAGAGTTTTAGTCTTAGTTTTAGTATCATAGTATCATATGGGAATGCTGACTGAGCCAGGCCTTTTTGCCCAACATCAGTGCCCAATCTCAGCCTCCAAAACCTATGTAATGTACAGTAAACACACCACTGGCCGTTCAGCTTTGCCTTCTGAGCCCTGCCAAGCACCCCTGTGTATAAATATACTTTATGTTTCAAGTATTGCTGTATCTACCCTTATCTTTCGGTCTGATACCCACTTGGGTTGAACAAGCGCATCAGCTTGCTGAGAACCAATTCAGGCCTTTGATGGAAAATGAGATATGGTTCACAGTTTAATTAGTTTCCACATGTGTGGATATGTCTTCTTTTTCTTCTTCTTCACCGTCATCTTTGCTTCCAATAGAGGTTAGCGTCACATCATCTTCAAGCCACAAATAAAATTCTGGGAGCAAAAACTGGATACTTCTTATCTTTTTTGGCCTGAAGACTGTCAAACGTAAAATGAATTTCAGCCAAAATACAGTCTAATGGAAATGGAAATGCCAAAAAATACTCATCATTCTTTAAAAAAAAAAAAAAAAACCCATAATGTTCAAACCCTACTGCACACCAATTTTATCTGCCATCATCTTTCTTTGTGATGGGGAACAGGAATTAACTATCACATTAGAGTAAGCATATTAAAAGGATAAGAGCATCACCACAAGCCAGACAAAATTGTCCAGTGATGAGGAGGGAAAAGGAAAGAGGGAGCAGAGAGGATGGAAGAAGGTTAGCGCTTTAAAAACGAATGGGGTACGAGGTGGGGGGGCAGGAGAAGAGGAGGAGGAGGTACTAGACTGATGAAGGTTGAATTACCCTGAGTGCCAGGATGAACAAAGACGGGGAGGAGAGGGTCCAAGCGAGGGCCATTCATGGTCTGCTGTTTGGTGAATTAAAACACAAGGATGGAGAACGAGAGTGAGATGAAGAATTAGGAGGGGTGATCAAACAAGCGGGCAGAGAGGGAAATGAGAAAGAAAGCAGAGACAATTCATTATTAAACTGGGCAGGCTGGACAGCCAGAGACGAGACGGATGAAGGGAAAAGAAAAATAGAGTTGAGAGAAAGAGAGAGAGAGGCATAGGAAATGAAAACAAACAAGCCATCATCCATCCCATCCCTCCATTGTTGCTCAGTTCCCCTGAAAGGTCGCCGTGCTTTTCTTCTACCAGTGTCGACAGGAGGGAGGGAAGGACAACGACAGACCGGAGAAAGGAGGGAAAAAGCAGTGAAGATTTATTTATCGTGGGGAGGAGGAGTGGCAGCGGCGGCGGCGCTTCAGAATTCTTGATCATCGCCACGGCGACCAGTCACCTGGCAACCGGGTACACAATGGCTGCGGTAGCCTTGGCAACAGCGTGGTCTCCGTCGGATACACGGGGAGGATGATGAGGCGGGCAGGCAGGGAGACAGGTAGACAGATGGAGTGATAGGGAGAGAAGTGCGAGATGGAGGGCAGGAGGGTGAGATAGAGCTATAGAAGGAGGAACGGGAGGAGGAGGAGGAGCAGGTGTGAACAGAGAGCCGGTATATCACACCTCAACAGGTGCAGAGGATCGGCCAAATGTGTGTAAAGACATAATGAGAAATGTAATGAGCTACTGACCAGGAGAATGGCCCACCATATGTGACCCTGCATGAAGGAGAGATGTGTTTGTGTACCTTATTTGTGTGTGTGTGTGTGTGTGTGTGGGCGTTTCGATCTGTCTGAGGGGTTTGGTTAAGAGTTTGGAGGACCGTTATTGTTGCTGGTGTGTGCTAATTGCCTGTGAGTGGCATCTTATCAGACTTTTTCTCTCACTGCAGGAAGCTGCTGCTCGCTGCATCAACCTACAGCTGATTACGAGGTGTTCTCATCACTGTGTGCATTACCACAGGAGCACAGGAGCGCATTTATTTGCAGGCGACAGAGAGCAGGAGAGATGATGCTATGGTAAATGCTCCAGATACTTTTTATCCTGCATGGACATGACAGTGTTTTTGACCACAAATGGTGTTAAAGCTGAAGGTGTGTGCATGTGTGTATATAGACGAGCTATGAAGACACATTATATTTGATGCATAACAATACCATTAGAGAACAACTGATAAACTGTGCAATGAACACAATAACTGCAGGACATTTGTGTAAAACCAGCTATTTGGATTTGGATGCATTTTGAGCAGATTAATTTCTCTTTGTTCTATTAGCTGTTATTCGTGGTTATTTTAACTGTACTTTTTTAATGCAGGGTGAGGCTGTTAAGCAGAGTGAAGGCTCTGTGACTAAAGCTTGTGTTCAAGTCTTCAAAGTTTAGATCTAAAATAATAATCTAAATATTAAAAATAACAATTACATGTAGTTTTCTTTACATAAATGAACGAAATGCTGAGATAGAGGCCTAATGTGTATATTTTTTAAAGTTTTCTTACACCCCTTAAAATCAGGAAGGTCTCACGTCCCCCTGTTAAGCTTTGGTGACCTCTGCTGGGGTCCCGACCCGCAGGTTTGGAACCACCCTGACGGTACAAAACACATGCTGTGCAGGTGTCCTTAAGTAATGCATACTTAATGCATGATTCATGGTAATTTAATGGAATAGTTAATATACAATGTATCATTAATTTCTGTCGAAGCAATCATCAAGTCACTGAGTTTATGTGATTATTTAACATTTAATGGATCATCAATTATTGATTGTTATCTTACTTCATACATTCATTTATATGCCACTGAATTAGATCAAATCATAGAATTATAATGCTGTTTTTAGTCATGCTGACATGGTTAGGGATGTCACTGTCAGTCTGTCAGTAAGTTAGTCGGTCCACCATTTTGGTCCATTGCTATGAAAAAAGACATTCATGGTTCCTCAGGGATGAATCATACTGACATTGTTGATCCCCTTTCTTTTTGCAATGCCACATTGACATTTGTGTGAAACAACAACTACTAAATGCTTTGCTGTGAAATTTGGTACAGACATTCATGTCTCC